AATAAGCTGCACCAAGAATTAATTACAATCAAGTCTTTTTTACAACAGTTGAAAGTAGAGAAAAAACCTGGTGCTACATCAAATATCTTGCTTAAAATTATCAATAAGATTTACAATGAGCCTAAACTGCTAATGCTTTTCATTTTGATATGGCCTTTTGTCAGTCAGCTTTTAATTAAAGCATTTAACAAGCTGCGATCAATATCATGATTATATTTTACTTGTCATAATCTTTGTAACATAAATCTTTTAATCGAGAATTCAGTATCCATAATTGTTCTCTGTGGTCAACATAATGAATGGAAAGAAAAGGATATACCACCCGCTAGTTGTGTCCTGATTGTAGAAAAGTATTACAAAATGTTCCTAAACTCCGACTGTTTGTTGGGGATTGGTATTCGCTAGGTCTTTTTTTGAAATTCATTTTTACACTCGCGAGAGCAAGTTTCTTGTAATCGCGAACAAGACTCTTTTTTATAGTCAATAACTTTCTCGTCTTACTTGTGCTTTTCCTTCTTGCTTAATTATTGACCCTTAAGAACTGCCTGTTTTGTTCCCACTTGGCATAGATATAACACCGTTGCCTTTGTACCCTTAGGTCAGTATTTTGACTCCCGCTAGACCTTGTTTTTATCCGTATGTATGCAATTCAATTTTTTTACCCTAGCATTGAACAAGGGTATTGTAATCGAGTACTAGACTTTGTTTTCCCGGAAATAATTTTAAGCACATGACTCATCTCCTGGATCCTGGAGGCATTCATCCACTAGGCTTTTCTGTTGCAACAGAGATATTTTGAGCATTTTCTTCTAAATTTTCTGCTCTGACATTTTTGGATTTTTGTACCGCCTCTTACATTTTCCGATGGTAAATTTTTACATTCTATTGTATTATTATTTTTTGGTTTCTAGCGTAGATCTAGTTTTTTTTACTTTTTGTTTTTTCGATAAGTTTTTCTATTTTTTTGTTTTGAAGTTTTTTCATCGCAAGTGGTTCGAAGCTCAGCTGTGTTGAAATATTTGTCGGGTTCTCTTGTCTGCTCAAATTTTTTCGGCTTAGTTGCTACATCACGGCTATTGCTTGTGCTGTGAGCAACTTTCATTGTTGTTGCAAGTGGGAGTATTGTTAATTGTAGTTTCTGTTGGGTCTTGAAACTTTTAAAATTGTTTTTCTCCTAAATTAGTTTTTTTTCGGCTCAACTCGTGTCTGCTGAAAAATTGTCTGATTTGTTTCATCTTGCTTATTTTTTTCCGTTGCTACTTTAATATTCTAATATCTCGCCTGTTTGCCTAGAATGAACTTATATCGAGACATTCGAACATTAAAATTTTGGTAAATCTATTTCCAGCATTTTTCAATGTTTTTGGACTTATCGTGTTCACTTATCGCTCCGCTTCGTCTCACTTCTGATACAACACCAACATTAAAAACATAAATGAAGTTGTTGAAATTAGGTTTTATACTAAATTAGCAAGTTTAAAAACGTTTGAAGAGGAAACAAAGCTGTAGCCCCAAAAAAATTCAGCTACAATGAACAACACTTGTTACTAACAAAAAAAATAGCACAAGCAAAATCCGTAATGTGGAAACTAGGCCAAAAATCATGAGCAAACGAAATAGTCCGTCAACTCATTCAAACGATAGCATTCATACAGGAAAAACAAGGTTCGCCTCGGTGTATAGATTGATTTTCTTATATGGCTTTCAGCTTAGCTTTTTTTTTGCTCAATGAGCTTGAATTGTTTTTTTTTCATTTCGTTTGGTTGGTAAAGCTATGTGTGATCAAATTCTCAAGGAATAATATTTCTACGCAATTAAAAACTTTTTTTATTTTAATGCGTTAAGCTAGATTTTCAGGGTTTTTTCCTCTTTTTTTGACATTTAAGTCAATTAAATTTAGTGACTTCTCGCTTCTGTAAGCGCTGACTATCCATTTTTTAAAAACGTTTCTATGCCGGAGAATTTTTCTCTGAGATAACTTGTGGATTATACCGTTACCACCTCGAGGAAAAACCAAATTTTACTGTAACTTTTTTTTCAAATATATTTAGGTCTGTGGCTCCAGAAACAATTGGATGACCGACAGTAAACCGAAAAAAAATATGAAGCGTAGAATTTTTTGATGGAAATTTGGATATCATCGCTTACAAAGCGAGAAGCCACTACCTTTTTGTTTTTCTTCGAGTTGGCGTTTTCGTAATACATAGAATTAGCAGAGATTTTTTCAAAATGCCATGATTCATAAAGTATAAAAATGTAGAACTAGATCGAAATCTGTTTGATAGATTATTAGTAATGATAAAAAATTGGATGCTGAAATAGCAGCATTTCTCACCACTGAATTATCAGACCATTGAAAGTGGAGAGGAATTTTATCTTCAGATCTGTTTAAATTTTTTGCCTGCTGTTTCCCCACAAAATCAGGTAGCACAAATAATCATCATAATGGGTCGAATAAGATGTCATATTCATGAGCTTTCACTCGTGACCAATTTTCAAAGCTTCGTTTAGCGCGTTTAGTAAGGAAATGTTTTAAACATTGAAAAAAACAATTGAAGAAAAATTGTTTTATAGGATTTATGGGCTTTTTAAAAAAAAATTTTGTCTCTTTTTGTCATCTTTCAGTCGCAAAAAGCAAGGGCGGAGTGGAGCAAATAAATTTTTTTATTTCCTGTTTTTCTCCAATAATTTTTGTCACCGGCTTCGATTTTGACAAGCAAGTACTTAAAATTCAAGAGTGTGTTAGGGAATGAGACGCTGTTGCCTACTCTTGAAGTACTTCAAAAGTTTTGAGAACTACTAAGTGTGTCGCACTTTTTGTTTGGAGTCAATTTATAACGATTGAGCACTGGTTGCTCCAGAAGTTTCAGTTTTTTTCCTGGCAATAAAAAGCGGTTCTTTTCGCAATAATATTTGAGCTTTTCTGGGTTTTTTATTTTTTTTTTTAAAATGTAGTTGATTACATTTAAGAGCGTAGTGTATTAGAATGAACCTTCTTTTTACCAATTCAACTCGCAACTAAAAGTGTACATTTAAAGTGTTCACTTATTTGGTGGCACTTCTGCTATAATCACGATCTGTAGCATTGGAAAGCTGTTTCTATCTGTTCTCTGATTTTTTTGTGGCTAGTGTTTGTTGCTAGTTATTTAATCTCTTAATCGCTAGGTCGCAGATGTTATCTGAGACGTAGCCGAATTTTAACTAATTTGAGACTAATTTCTACTTTTTTATTACATTTTATAGAGCTGCTTTTTTGCCGTGTTCTGGCTAGTGTTCGCTAAGCGCAGCTTCGCCTCTGTGTTATGATTAGTTTACTAAGTTCGTCTTTCCTCTCATCGCGCTACTTAGAAATTTGAGAAAAAAATGTTTATAATTGTTAATTTATCTGGCCTGAAGGGGGCTATTCTCATGCGCGAATGGGCGAAAAAACTCGTGATCGAAGGACCGAAAACAAAATTAGCCGAAAGTCAGTTTTTAAAAAGAAGCAATTGCCATTCAATTAAAATGAATCAAATGAAGCAATATTTTGTTCTTTCATAACGAAACCCTTGAAATATAAAATTTGTTCCAATTCGGCGGCGGTCAGTGTAAATTTCAAAATTTTGCTTATTTCTTCCGTTTTTATATTCGGCCAATATCAATATTCAGTCCCTGGAAATGTTTACTTTCTTTCCAAATTTTAGACTACTGAAATCTGATTGGCTGATTTTTATTTTCGGTCCTTCGCGTATGAGCGATTCCACTTGGTCATAACTGTCTGTGCGTCCTACACATCAACTGGCTACGCGTGTTTAGTTTTCTAATTGGTTTGGTAAATTTGATTACGGTGTCACAAGTGTTGTTGGTTGAATGGGGTGCCGGACATCAAGCCGACGGGACTTCAAGCCGAATCGTAAAATTAGGGACTTCAAGCCGAATAGTTCCTTATAAACTCGTGAAATATGATTAATTTGAAAACTATTTTGAAAAATTTCTGAATTTTATGATCTTTCTTCACAAGTAATTGGCGTTTTCATAAAATTTAAGCTTCCGAATGATGTTTCGGAAATTTGAAAAAGTAAAACATGGTTGAAGGCATTTTTCATGTTTATATTTTATGCATTTCAAAAACCGGCTGATGTTATTTACGGATGCCTATCACAAGTGGTGCATTGTCATGAATAACGTTTATTATGGACTAAACTTGCCCAAGTTTTTGAAAAACAACGTTTTACAGATGATAAAATAGTGTTTTGAGGTGCTTGTAAAGTTTTAATTTCTGCTTGAAGTCCCGTCGGCTTATTGTCCTAGACCCGGTTGAATGTTCGTCAAAAAACCGCTCTTGTGGCTTAGAGAAATATGATGCTATTTCACTTTCTACAGTATTCTAGTTGCAGTTGCGACGTGCTAACTGCGCTGCTGAAGTTATTGAAGTAGATGCTCTTGGTTCTCTCTATTTCCGTTGATTTGGTGCCGATTTGGTTTCCAATATCAATTCTTTTTCTCTATCAGAAATAGAAATACACTGTTTTTGCCCCCAAAATATCGCATCCTTTTTTTTTTACTTTAAAAGCATACTTAACAAAAACGTCGATTTTGAACTAAATATACACTGAGATTTTGCACCAAATTGTGTTACGACTGAAAAATGCTATCCCATTATTCGGATTTGATTTTTTAGAGCGTTTTTCATTAGCCAAATGAGATCTTCCGTGCCCTTTTTTAAGCATCAGCATAATGCTTGCCTTGTTCTATTAAAAATAGCATTACTAGAAACTAGAATTTTTAATGATTGTAGAAATCCGATGAAAATAGTAGAGCTTTATCATTATTTTGGATTAATCTGAATTGCACTTCAGTGCTATATTTTTGATTTTTGTTTTAATAGTTAGTGCGACGGTCATAAAATCAAGAATCGTATTCATCAACCACAAACTATTTGAACAATCTCAACGACGATCAAACAGTTGAGCTGTTTGACCATAATTTAGTTAATAACTAACTGATTTAGTTTAATTTTCAGATTGGTTTGTTGTTCGCCGCTTAACTATTTAATTAGTGAATAGTGCTCTCTCGCCGTCTAATTCTTCGCTTTCGTATTCTTCTGTATAACACCAGCATAGTAAGTATAAAATGCCGAAAGAAGTCACTGATCTAGCCGAGTTCAAGGAACTGATCAACGGTGACAAGGTCATAGCTGTAGACTTCACTGCCGTTTGGTAAGTCAGCTTAAAAGATACGCGACCGCATAACAAAAAAAAGAAGTTGAGAAAATTGTAAGTTGTTCATGCCGTTGCTCATTTAAACAACCTCTTCAATTTCAAAGCTTCTCTTCGACACTATAACGCAACACGAACACTTCGCTATTTCGAAAGTTTTCTGGCCTATTTTCTGTTCGCAAAACGTGGTTGTGGTTGTTCCGACCACAACCCATTTCAAACGATGTCGGTTATAAATGTAATATTGAAGTTTTTTCATGCGAGTTTTTATTCGAGTTGCAATTTTTCGAACTCAAATTTTTCTTGCTTTTCTCACTGATTTTATGTTGGTTTCTTTATCCTTGAAAACTAATATCTAAATTTTTTAGGTGTGGACCGTGCAAGCGAATTGGACCAAAGTTTGAGGAATTTTCCAAGGAGTACCCCAATGCGACATTCATCAAAGTTGATGTTGACGCCGCGGAGGTATGTTATTGGTGCTACATAACAATTCACTCTGCGATATGTATCTTACGTAGACTCTTTTTCTAAGACTAAACAAGGACAGCCGGTTCCGGCCCGACTCAGCAGAAGTGTTCAAAAATGAAAAAAAAAAGGTTTTAATTTTCTCAATTTTTATCATTTTTTTGTTTAAATTTATTCTGATTTCTTTCTCAGAAAGGTCTACTGAAATAGTTGAGAAAATGCTAAAATGAAGTAGTATTGCTAAAATAACGTTAAAATTGTAATTTAGTCTGAAAACGAAATGATTAAGACACGTTTTGGGCAGGGGGTATGGTCGGAACAATAAGTTCATTTTTAGCCGAATTAGAGAGATGAATATCTCCACCTCCAATCTTGAGTAATACTATTCGGTGACAAGTTCAGTGTGTCTCCTTTTCAGTGACAAAAAAGCAATCGACTTCTATTTTCGAAAGCAAATTTTCATTTTCATTGTTATCAGCGCAATAAAAAATTTATCTATTGATCCAGTTTTCTCAAAGTGAGATAATTTCATCAAAAAATCGTCAATCATTCGACTTTCGAAGAGTTTCAATGGTATATACTCTTTTCTGTAAAACTGTAAATTTGAAGTTTTTAAAAAAAAAACAAGTCAGCTTTTTTTGTTTCCCTGCGTTCATTACTCTTTTCCGACTTTCAGTTGGCTATGTTTAGTAATGTCGTTTGCAGAGTTTTAGCTCTTATGCGCACAAAGTAAAGTTATGAGAGTAGCTTTGATCAAAAGATGGTAGGATTGGGGCTTTGTGATATTTAGTCTCTTTTTTATTGGCTATGCTGCCGTTTGATGTTTCAATTCAAGCTATAATATATGACAGGTTTTTACAAAAGATTTAAGCTACCAGGGAGCTATTTTCAAATAGTTTTCATAAAATGTGTTTTTGTTTACATGAAATCACGTAACGTTTGCACGACTCACAAATACTTCTTCAGCCATTTTTTTAAAACCCGAACCTTTGTAGCAAAATCAAACAAAAATTGTTTTACATTTTTTTTTCTCAATCGCGAGATTTTTGGAAGTGAATTTCCATTTGCTTGTCAGAGTTTTTCCGAAGCTGCTTCAATTTTTTGCAATACTTCATGTTCTGAGTTTTGCTTTGTTTCACCAATGATTCCTTTGCCTGGTTCAAGTTTTCCAAATGTGCTTTCATGAATAATTCATGTCTTCGAGATTCGGTGGATTGCGTAGGGTTTTCGCAATTTTTTACAGCAAAGCTTTAACGCCTAAACAAGACTGGCATGGTTTTTTTTCAATTTAGCATGGAGTATGCCTTTTTCTATTTTCATGAAGTTTTTTGATGCTTTTAAGTCTCAACAACTTTAGACAGTGATCTTGTCTTTAGTTTTGTTTATTACACTAGCTATCAGCTTAGTGCATTATTACGAACCCTCTTTTTTTCTAACCTAAGTCGCAAATTAAAGTTTTCATTAAAAGTATTCACTGTAGTGAACGTTTGACTGTAGCATTGGAAAGCGCAATAGCATTTGTTCTCTTCTTTATGTGAGACTCATAATCTCTAGGTCGAAGGTTCGTAGACGTAGCCGATTGTCTTTTCATTAATTCGAAGCTTGTTTCCCTTTTTTATCTTGAACTTTGTAGATCTGCTTTTTGTCATGTTCTCGGAAGTGTTTGCGATGCACAGCTTCGCCTCTGTTTTTGTGTTTGCATCGCAATTGTTGCGATGCTTCGCTTCGCCTCTTTAAATTTGACTAAAATTTCCCGTATTAAGTTTTTTTAAATCTCTCGATTTTTGGAAAATTCCTTATTTTCCATTTAAGTTATTCCATGATTAAGATTCGATGAACGTAGTTCAGACTCTTACATAGGTCGCGATGATTTTTTTTCAGGAAAAGTTATTGTTTTGGCTCAAATTTACTTTTTCGCGGTGTAAATTCAGTTCATTTTCTTTTTTAACAAAGGCAAACTCAATTACCGAACAGTATAAGTGTAAATGACACGAAAAACTTGATCAACTTTTAGTTACGAAAGTTGAATTTAATTACCGAATTTCCCAGCGAAATAGATAATTTACCTATTGTTCCAGTTTTCTCAAATTGGGTTAGTTTTATCAAAAAGTGCTACTCATAAATTCACAAAACTTCAAGGGCACCTATTATTTTTTTGAAATTCGAAAGGCGAGATTTTTTCTACAAACATGTCAGTATTTTTTTCTGTTTATTTGCGTTCACTGACTCATTTCCAACTCTCTGTTGGCTGTGTTTAAAGTTTTTCATTTTTCTGTTATAGGAAATAGCTGCTGCTTATAAAATCCAGGCAATGCCCACTTTCAAATTCTTCAAGGGCGGCGAGATGATTGGCGAAATGGTAGGTGCCGACGAAAGCAAGTTGAAGGCGCTGTGTGAGAGCCACTGCAAGTAGTTTCGCTGATGCCTTGACGGAAAACACAGACCTCAACACATCCCTGATATTATGTTATAACCTAGAGGACTTCTCATTTATAATCATAATTTCCTTATAACGTCAACGTCGGTGCTCAATTGGGCCGAAGTACAACAGTGCCGAAAATGAAAATGGGTTCAATTTTTCATGAAGCACTTTTTTGGTATCTTTTGCTTGTTTTAGGATAAGGTATCAAATTAAAAGGGTAAGTTTGGCTTTTTATATTCAGCCATTTTCAGTTGAATAATTTTTTAGTTATTCGGGATGTGTAAAAAGTGTTGAAATTTTTTTTCTTCACTGTTGAAAAACAATTTAATTTTGGCACTGCTGTATTTTTGGCACTGTTGGACTGGCGCGTACGTAACTTAGTAACTGGCAGCAGTTTTGGTTGAGTACACTGTTTGTTGTTTAATGATATATTATGTATTTAATCATTAACCAATCAATCGTTGTCCTTTGTTGTGGTTTCAACCTCAATATGTTTGAGGTTGGTGCTTTCAGTTTGAAGTTGTGAGTCACGGGCTTGACTAAGTTTCGATGCATAAGTATGCAATTATAATTACGTGAGTGACCTTGTGATAACTAAGTTCAGATAAAGATGAATTACAGCATGCAAAATTTTGAGGTTGAAAACGTATTCTGTGGATAGGGAACTGTTTATGGTTATGGACCCGGCTTATGTATTATAATATTTTGATATTGTTTTTTTTGAACGAAACGAATGTAAGGCAGAACAGGCCACTTATATTCTGTCAAACGTTCAATTTGAATTTATGAGGGGCTTCGAAGCTCTTGAAAACTAGTTGACTTCAAAGACGTATTTTTTCCAACAATAGTTATCTTCAATTTGTAGATGGTTTTTACCCTTGAGACTTCAAAGACGTATTTTTTCCAACAATAGTTATCTTCAATTTGTAGATGGTTTTTACCCTTGCGATAACCAAGAGTATTCCAATCGGCTACTAGACTTGTTTACCCAAAAATAACTCATCGCACACAATGGTCAAATTTGTAGGAGTGGTAAATTACAGGCGTGCTCAGTTTCTTGAAAATTCAAATAAAACTAACTTCATTTAGGTGTAAGTAGGTGTAGTTCGTTTGCAGTGTTAGTTTTTTTCAAAAAATATTTCAGGAATTTTTTTTCTGGATTCGTGGTTTTCGGCTTAGTTTCCGTAGGTTCATTTCCCGTTTTTTAAAAACGATTTTTTTTGGTACTGTTTTTTTTCGGCTTTTTTTGTTAAGCATGGATTTTATTTTGATTTTAAATTTATGTTGAAAGTTTGTAAATTGTCATTTTACCAAGTCTGATTTTTAATAGTTTGGTTTTTTATAAATTTTTTAATTGATTGAACGGTTACGGTTTGTTTTATCGCATAATGAAATTATATTGCGCGGTTTCGAGGGCATAAATTCCTAATCGATAAAATCCGATATAATTACACTTGCGGGAGCACGTGTCTTGAAATCGAGAAAAAGACTTTTTCCAGTAAACAACTTTTCTCTTACGTTTTAACTTTTTACGCTTGCGATTAGCAAGCGTTATCAATTTAGAATCAAGGGACTACGCTTGAATCTGGTCAGGAGCTGTTTTTTTTTCATAAACCTAATTAGTAGGTATCAAAAATGATCGGCCTATGGGTTGTCTGCTTATGGTTTGCCGGCTTCTTTGGAGTTTGTTTTTACTTTCTTTTGTTGTATGATATTTTTTTTGTAATTGAAAGTGTTTTTCGATTCTCTGATGTAAATTGTAATTCGTACACTTGCGAGAGTCATTGTCTTGTAATCGGGAACTAGACTTTTTCCCATAAACAACTTTTCTTACATATTTGCAATTGAAATTGATGTTGCTTTGTTATCGAACCTTGCCTCACTTCCAGACCGCACCTCACTTGGTCTGGAGGTAATGCAGTTGGCTTGAAACCTAATGCCAGCAGTTCGAGTTTCGGTCGGACCATGTTTTTTTTCAGTGTCTGAAAATGATTTTTTTCCGGGAAAAATTGGTTAGTCGGATTATAGTTTGTCGGCTTATGTTTTTTTGTGCTGTAATCAGTTTTCATTCTAGTCTCAAGTGTCGTTGATTAACTCCTGTAGTTTTTTAAAAGTAATATTTCTGACTGTTATATTCCATGTTTTTGTGTTCGCTTAGAATTTTTATTCGGCCTGAATGATTTCGGCTCTTGTTTTGTCGGCTTAGTGATTTTTTTGCATCGGTGTAAATATAAAAATGAAGGTTCATGATTTTTAAAAAAATGATGTCTGATTACAGTTAAAAAGTTTTGAACTGCTTGAATTTTTTGACAATTCTATTTAGCATTTTTTGTTTTCAGTTAATTGGCGTCTAACCACAGGTTGTTGGCTCAGTGAACGCTTGAAAATTACTGAAAGCATATTTAATGCTAGTGGCTGCGTTTCTCGTCTGTTTTTCAGATATTGAGTTTTATGTATTTAGAAAAAAATGTCGAATTTTTTGACAACCATTCACTTTGATTTTTTGTTTTCGGTTAAATTGGCATCTAATCACGTGTAGTTGGATTAGTGGACACTCGGAAAATACTAAAAGGTTGCCTTATACTAGTGGTTGTCTTTCTTGTATGTTTTTATGATATTGAATTTTTCGTAATTTCCTTTGGTGTTTCCTTTGGTGTTTTTAATTTCGGATCAGTTGGCGTCTAAACACGTGTTCTGGCTAAGTGGACGCTCCAAAAATACTCAAAGCTTGCTGAGATTGAATTTGTCGTATTTTCACAAAAAATTGTTCATTTTTATGCAATTTTCTTTGGCGTTTTTGTGTCGAGATCGATTGGCGTCTATTTACGTGTTGTTGGCTTATTGGATGCTCGGAAATTACTACAATCTTGCTTTTTTTGCTAGTGGTTGTGTTTCTCGTCTGGTTTTCTTTGATTGAATCTTTGGTATTGCGAAATTTTCTTCACTTCAAAGTTTTCTTCTATTTCTGGTTTTCTTCTATTTCGAAGTTTTTTTCCACTTAGTTATTTCCACTTCACTGACCATTTAGTTGATTGCAATAGTGCTGTGGCTTAGTGGAGGGTAGAAAAAACTAAAAGGTTGCCTAATGCTAGTTGTTGTGTTTTTTGTTTGTTATTCCGAGATTGATTTTGATTTTTTGACATTTTTTTGCGTTTTTGTTTTCGGTTCGATTGGCGTTTAACTACGTGTTTTTGGCTTATTGGACGCTCGAAAAATACTTAAAGCCTTCTTATTGGTAGTGATTGTGTTTCTCGTTTTTTGTGATTGTTATTTAGTATTTTTAGTTTTTTTTCACGTTTTTTTCTTAGTTATTTTCATCTAACTGGCCATTTAGTAGCTTGTAATTGTACGCTTTGATTGTATTGCATGTGATGCGAAGCTCCGCTTCGGCTATGAGTCTTCAAATCGCTTTTTAATGAACCTTCACAACCTCCAGGTTCCTTCTCACTTGGCCTAGAGTTAACGCCGTCGCCTTTACCCTGAAGTTTGAGGTTCGACACCGGCCGGACTTTTTTCAGTATGTATGCAATTGAAAAAAAGATTCGGTGAAATATGAACTGTTGGGTTGTTTTTCTGCTAAAGTTGTGTCGGGTTAGTTGCCACATCACACATCTTGTTTGTCCTGCAAGCATCTTTCATGGCAAGTGCAAGTGTTGCTCTTTGTAGGTTCAGGGAGGTGGACTAAATCATTTTTTTCCCGGCGCAACAGGTGTCTGCTTAAAGATGGTCGGCTTAGTTGCCACATCACTGAGTTGTCTTTTCTTGTGCTCTAGGCAACTTCCCTTGTAGCTGAAAGTGCAAGTGTTATTCATTGTAGTCTCAGGTGGGAATTAAATTTGTAAAGATGTTTTATGAAATCATATTTTTTCTGCTCAATTTGCGTCTGCTCAAAGATTGTCGGCTTTGTTTTCTCATCATAAGTTTTGTTCCATTGCTAATTCAATACTGAAATTTCTGTCATGTTAGCCTAGAATGAAAGCCTATCGAGACATACGAAAATTTAGTTTTTGGTAGAACTATTTTTCAGCGTTTTCGATTTGTTTTCGACTTTTATGTTTTTTATGTTAGTTTAATCGCAAAAGGTGCGAAGCTCCACTTCGCATCTGTGTTCAATTTAGTTCTATAATAAGCATAATAGATAGAAGTAATATCATTGATAAATCTGTGGGAAAAAGGCCCAACTTTTTAAAGTTTGTTTTGAACATCCGCCTCAAGAATATCCCGGATGCACCTATGCTTTAGAATATCCCGGATCTACCCATGCTTTCGAATATCCCGGATCCACCTATGCCTAACAGAAAAGAATTTTTGAGCATGTTCTAAAAAAGTGGCTGATTGATAGTTTTGTTTGGCTGACCATGTGCGCAGTAGTTAAATGAGAAAAAATCTGTTATAGTGGTCTTCATTTTATGTTGTAAAAGTTTAACTGCCAAAACCTAGCAAACAGAAAGAGTTCATTAATTTTTAAAGAAATTTGTCGAATATTTATTACTTCCGGTACGTTGGTTGTTTGTTCAGCTACGCAAGCACATCTATAATGGTAGTCGCGTGTTTCAAAAGCTGTCTTTAGAGGGCTTTATTAGAGTTATATTGAGCAAATTAAAATGTAAAAATGAATACCAACTTTTTTCAGCAAAAATTATTGACAATTGTTTTTGTCTTTTAACTAGGCTGTCAAAAAAGACATTTTTTAAATATGGCATGAGTTTTGTTACCGATAAAAAACAATGAAACCGGGTTCTATTAAAGTTGCTTTGAGGTTACCAGGAATTTTAGAGCTACTTATTTCTAGAATTTCCTTTCCGATGGGCTAGTTGAATTTTGATTTTGCTTCGTTTTTTCTGCTTTCATTTTGGTACCCAGAGAAAATTTGCTGAGGAACGAGATTGGTTTCATCTCAGTCGTGTTTCATATTGCGAAAAGTTCTTCTGAAATTTTTTCACAATATAAAGGCAAGTTGATCTGTTTAGATTTTTTTTCAGATCGTTGTTTGGAGATTTTTCAAAAAAGGTTTCAAAAATTATGACTTTTTTGTTAAGTGGACCAACTTGATTTTGCGAGCATTCCCAGAACCTTATAAAGACCCTATTGTGGCAAAAAAAAATTGGTCGTAAATGCCGTTTTTAGAAGCTTTTGGAAAATTTGACCAAAAAAGTGCGTTTTTTCGGCGCGCGCTTCCCTTTAAGTTTAGTATATATTGGCACCAAGGCGCATGTAGAAAAAATTGAGGGTTGGTCGACCGAAAATGGATAAATTAATACCAAAGGGAGACCCTTTGGTTGGTGAGGGGTGGAATCCCTGAGAAGAATGGGGCGTCGATCGCTCCCCCTAAATCCGCCCCCTAATTCTAATCTAGTTGCGAAGTGGAGGTGGTTCTTTTCAGTCAGGATTTGAAATAAGCTGGTTATGAGTCACCAAGCAACCAGTAAATTTTAAAAATTTGCAATAAAAAATTAGCAATTTTGGCGTAAAGACTCAGATTTTAATCTTTTTCTGCGGAACACTAAAATGTGAAATTACTTACACTTGCGAAAGCAAGTGTCTTGTAATAGGGAACTAATTCTTTTTTCCCGGCAACAACTTTTCGGACAAAACTTTCTGGCTTTTCCTACTGGTATTATTATTGAAGCTTCAGATCTTTCAGATTGTTCTTCATTCCCAGTTGCCTAGAGGTGACGCCGTCTCATTTGAACCCGATGGTCAGGGTTTGAACGCTGTGCTCGGCCGGACCTTTTTTTTCAGTATGCTTGCAATAGTCGTTTTTTTCCTGTAAAAATTGAATTGACGGACTTTCGTTTCTCTGTTTTAAGATTGTCGGCTTAGTTGACGCGCCAGAGATTTTTTTTGAACTGTTGGTAACTTTCATTGTAGTTGCAAAATCAAGAGTTGCTAAAAATAGTTTCAGGGGGCATTGAAAATTTTAAATTTTTTTGAAAATCATTTTTTTTCTGCTCCACTTGTGTGTGCTCAGTGGTTTATGTGCTCCATATTAAGTACCGATTCAGTGTAATAAACGTAACGAGCGTACGTTGTTTGGGGTAGTTTTTTTAAACTAGAAAGTCAAAATTGATTTCCTATTGGCTATTTTTCATTTAGGGTTAAGCTTTGTTTAAGTTTCGAATTAATTTTCCAAGCAGAACTGAAGTAATGCTCTTTGAGGACGAAAGTTGAAATGGCGTAAAAGTTGAATTTTAATTCGTTTCTTCAGCGGAATACTTATTCACATGTGGACTTAACTTGGTGGTCAACTCCAATTTTAGTCGGCGTCCTATTTTTACCCATGGTTTTGATTCCCATATTTTAACCCATGGTTTTGATTCCCATATTTTAACCCATGGTTTTGATTCCCAAATTTTTGATTCCCATGGTTTTGAAGGTTAAAATAGCATAAATGTTCTTCACAATAAAGTTTAATTATTCGTAGAGTGCGTAGATTTCACCTCAGTTTGTGTCAGGTTTCTTTTGGAAGTTGATTTTCCTCATGTTTTTTTGTTTTTCCAATTACATTTAGCTTCGGTATAATTTTTTTCACAACTAGCTTTAATCAATTTGATACATCTAGTTTTTTCGGCATTTCAGATTTTTCTGAAATTTTTTATCTTTTTTTTTCGATTTTTTCCCGCGGTGAGAAGATATGCTTCGCCTGTGTTAGATATTTGTAAAGGGGTTAATATCATTTTTAAGAATGATGAGGAAACAGCAAATAAGGCTGAAGATCTGAAAAAAGCAATGAGTTATTATTGATTCTGGTAGCTTTGTGATTTATTGTGTGCGCTTTTTAAACTTCAAGTTCCTTAGTTATAAGTAAGCACTGAACTTTTCATGATAGCTCATTACGTTTCGCTGAAAGTAGTGCTCTCGTCTCAAGTCCAAGAATCTCTGCAGCTTGGTTAATTAATGGGACGATGCGTAAACTAAGGCAGCTAAGGAGTAGTATGAATTCCATGTCGGCTAAATTTCATTTTTTGAGCTACGGTTCGTTTTGAAATTTTTGTTAACTGATCCATATCATTTTTGTCTGATAATTTTTGTTTCTGAACGGTTTGTGAGAAGTTGCTTCGCCGCTATGTTGCCAGAAATGACTTGAAAATTTTATCCGAACTGCGTTGTACGGATAGTCCTGTGATTGTAGTGTTATCGTGTTTCAGATGCTATGAAAAGCAGCAGACATCCAATGGTAATTGCGAGCAGTTCGCCTTTGAATGTTTCAAGATCAGGCGCAAGCACCAGCTTAAACACAACACCACAAGCGCAACCTGAAATGGTGGAGCGAAATAATAACAACAACTCACTCTCTTACAGAAAACCGCTGAAGCGACACAACCCTGTGCAGACATCGGCAGCAGCCGCACCCCCCTTTCCGAAATTGGCAGTCCCAACTGGGGGAGTAGCAAGGACACTGTCATCGCTGAGTTCGGGTGAGTCAACTGAAGGAGATGGAAATTATTCGAGACGACGTGAACTTTTTGGTTAATTTCAATTCTCGACTTTGCTAATCAGATCTGAGTCACGGCAATAAAATCAAATATGCAAAAATTTCTAAAATTAGAAACTGTTCACTTCTCACTTTTTCTCTTACTTTCTTCGGTTATTGCTATTTTGATAAGACCAATTCGTTAACTACCCTACCCGCGAAATAATAAGTTAGGAGTAAAAAAACTAATTTGGAAACTTTTTGAGTTGTTACTAACGTATTTGTCTTGAGGTATAAAATATATAAATGATCATGTTTTTTGTGTTCAATTTTTTAGGTATTAAAGATGCGAGTCCACTGAAGCGATCTAGAGAAGATTCATCGTCTCGATCATACCTGTCCCAAACTGAAATTGCTCTGCGAGATCATACTAAATATGAAAGGGACACTAATCGGCTGCCGTCTGGGCTTGGGCGAAGTGCAAACCAAAGGAAACCTTTCGGACAAACTTTTGTGCCTGTCAAAAGGTCGCCCTCAAAGCTGAGGCCAAATCTGCACAATAAGCCACCCGTGGCCACGAAAACACCATTTGGAGAACAAGTACCCGCAGATGTTGAGACTTTCAGTGACTGGGGGCGACCACGTCCAGCAGGGCAGCAGGACAACAAAGGGCCGGTAACTGACCAGTCAAACGTGCCTAAGGCGACCTTAGTTCCTCCTGTCGGAATCCAAGCAGTTCCAAGACTGGGAGCGCCGCCTTCAACGGTGCCGGATATACTGGCAGAGAGAAATCGAAGGTCTCAAGAACCACCCATGCATAAAGATCTTCAGTCTCCGGTTGATGAACTTGGACCTTCTAGGAGTTATCCGGAAAGCGAATTAAGGAGACAAAATTTCGGGAAACCTCCGCATTCGGCAAATGAAACCCGTGATTTCAGAAATGGACCTAGGGATTGGTTGAATAGTAAAACAGAAGATCTAGAACCATCTAATGATTCCAAGAGTTTCTGGAATAATGACAGGCGAGGAGGTTTCAGAGGGAATTCGAGGTGGGGTGATAATAATAAAGGGCATTTCAATGACCGGCAGCAACATTTTGATGGTAGAAACGAAATACGTGATCAATTCAGTAACGGAAGAGATCAGTTTGACAATAGGCATGATCAAAACGACAGAAGAAACGATTTTCAAAGCGAGCGAAGACGTGAAAACGAGAACTTTCCACGTGGGCGTGATAATCATTTCAGACGCGATTGTGATCGAAATTCATGGCAGTCTGATCGAATGCGATCAAATGAAAGACTTGAAGATCGAGGATGGTTGGATCCTGCGACTGAAAGGGAAGCCAACAACTCATTCGAAGCAAACTCTTTTGGAGCGAGAAGTGCCAGTCGCAATGCTGATGTATGGACAGGCGGTGATAACCATCGCGAAAGAAGAGGGGAATTTGTTCCGAGGGATGAAAACAGATTTCTTCGAATGAATGAAGATGTAAATCGAGAAAAGTTTTCGCAGTTTGAAGAAAGCTGGAACAGTGGAAGAGGCAACCAAACACATTCTAATGTACATCGTATAAGTCAGAATTCGTTTGGTGCCTCGCCATTTAACAGTTTTGGGCAAGCAGCCCCCCAGCGCTCGGATCAGAGAAACGAAGTGGTAGCGGACGATGGCAAAGAAATAATCATCGGCAAACACATGTCCTCAATGAAAGATAACAGTCAGTCAATTACCGGCTGTCTTCAATTTTTAAATTTAATGATTTTGCAAAATTTTTCCCCGCTTGATGATTTTAACTAGGTGGTCTTAAAATGTACGATTTTTTTTTTTTTAAATGCATAATTTTGGAAAAAGAGCTAATGAGAATATGGAACGATTAACAATTAAATCAAATCTATTGTTTTGTCCAATTGCGATTTAGAAAAATACATCTGTTTTTAAGATGAAAGTAACATTTTTTGAGAATTTGGTTTTAGATATCGCGGACACCAATCAGCAGGCGACTCCTTATGACCGGTTTCACAGTCAGCAGAATACAAATGTCGGGTATATGCAGCAACCGCCACCTCAACTTTATCAGCCAAACTCGGCGCCAACTGGTTTTGGGGCTCAGGTTGGTCAAAACAATGCTCCGGTTGGATACACTCCTGGATCTTTCCATCAAAGCCAAACGAGTAATTCTAATACTTACCCCATGGCACCTAATAGTCTGGCATCTGTTGGTGGTCTTACGAATAACATTCAGGCACCACCACTACATCAGCAGAGCATCGCTCAGCCAGGGTTCCCATACGGTCAGACGCAGTACCAAACTTACCCCCCTACTAGTTTCCAGCAGATGCCAAACCCCACTCAAAGTTATGCTGGAATGCCTCAAAGCTTCACGATGCAACCTCCGACAATTGCAGCAGCTCCGTCTTCCTTCTCTTCTGCACCAAGTATAGGCCACACCTCGACTACGCATGCTACGGCATTGCAAACATCAGTTCAAGGAGGCATGTTGGCAGGCCAACCGTCTCCACAGCAAGTCCAAGGACAGTTAAGCCAACAAACGACGCAACAATTGAACCCACTGGTTGCGCCTCAAATGAACTCTCAGAACGTACCTGGTTGCACGCCTGAACAGTTGAAAGAGTATCAAAAACAATGGGACGAGTACAAAGTGAAATACGAGAAGTATCAAAAGGAACTAGCCGAGTATAACCAACAGATGCAGCAGATTTATGCCCAGTCGGGACAAACTCCAGCTAACCAGCAACCGACTCAAGTGTCTAATCCTATTGCTGCTCCTAGCTTTGCTAATCAAGCACTAGTGGGAGGAGTTCCGGCAAATCCGATGGTTGGCGCTCAACCAACCCCTCAAACCCCGAGTATCCCTGGGACTCCGACAATGTCAAACTTCGGTAACAATCAAGCCATGGCCTTTATGTACTCATACCAGCAGCAGCAACCTCAAATGAGTCAGCAAGGTGTAGCTATGAGTGCGACCTCAATGAATGGGCAAACACCTTCGTACCCAACTGGTTTTTACCCGCAACAGTCAGTGGCAGGCATATCTGCCGCAGTTTCAATGCCACCGTGGATGTCTACGGCGATTCAGAAGTAAAGTCACAATTCAAAACCAGAACAACCTCCATTTTCCATTCTTCAACACCTGAGCAGCCTTATTAGTTCCTGGTCTCGATTGCTTACTATGTTATTTACTTCGTTTTAAGTATGAGCATTACCAAAAAACAGCAGTGCTTTTCTTCACAAGAATGGACCTGGCCGAATCTCGAAAAGTAATCGTGAGTCAATTTTGATCTTAAAATGTGCTTTCAGGGGTTGATGCCGTTCGTGGAGATGAAATTATAAAGCAATAATGTTTTGTTGGTTAGTGTGAAAAAAATGCTATTAAACGAGACAAATATATCTCGTTTTGAAGGCGTTGATCAAATGAGCAAACGCTGTTCATTCGCTCAAATGTATGCTAACTAGCTTAATTGAATATCTAAGGAAAAAATTCACATTCTGCCCGAGGTAATCATAACGGTGTTATATTCAAGTAGGACACTTTAGCAGAAAACACTAGTAAGGGTAAGTGTTTTTCTTTCAATAGCTTGTGCAGCAAATGCATCTAATCAATTGTAAAAAGATTTCGATATTGTCTTTTTGATTGTTTTTCCAGCGTGGAAGCGTTCAAACTTCGCATCTACAAAGTAATACCGCAGAAAAGGTTATGAAGATAGCAGAACCGCTTGGTTTGTGCATTTTTTTTTTTTCAAAACAAGGTGGTTGGTTTAGCATGTAATTTGAAATTTTTTTTATTTGTAAGCTTCGCTAATGTTCAAATGCGAAGCTTATTTTTGTGTCTGAAAGTAGCGATTTGAGCTATGTGAAGATCATGATTTATGTGTATTGTTATTTCCGCGTACATGGGCTAATCGCTTAGTTTTTTTTGCAACCAAGGATTCGTTTCTTGTGGTGACACTATATTGTCTTAGAGGTTGACTGGTGGACTTGGAATCAGTAGCTCGAGGTTCGAATAAAAATATATGCTGAAAATGTCTATGTTCGAGCGAAATTTTCATTTGAAAGCCATTATTTAAACTTCAATTATTAAATGGCTTTAAGTTTTCCAACTCGGCTATTTTGAATTTGTCCGTGAAGATGTTAACGCCTACGCGTTTTGCGGACTCGTAGTTCTGTTCAGCAAGGTAGATTTCACCGCCATTAACCTGATTTTAAGGTTGCGGGCTTTGTTTCATATGCGAGAGCAACTGTCTTGTAATTGGGAAATTTTTTCCCGTGATCAACTTTTCTTAAAATTCTGTAAAAAGATGAAGTTGCTTTTTGATTAAACCCTAACAACTTCCAGGCCCCTTCTAAATTGACTGCCTTTGCTCCCTAAATTGACTGCCTTTGCTCAAACTTCGCATCTACAAAGTAATACCGCAGAAAAGGTTATGAAGATAGCAGAACCGCTTGGTTTGTGCATTTTTTTTTTTTCAAAACAAGGTGGTTGGTTTAGCATGTAATTTGAAATTTTTTTTATTTGTAAGCTTCGCTAATGTTCAAATGCGAAGCTTATTTTTGTGTCTGAAAGTAGCGATTTGAGCTATGTGAAGATCATGATTTATGTGTATTGTTATTTCCGCGTACATGGGCTAATCGCTTAGTTTTTTTTGCAACCAAGGATTCGTTTCTTGTGGTGACACTATATTGTCTTAGAGGTTGACTGGTGGACTTGGAATCAGTAGCTCGAGGTTCGAATAAAAATATATGCTGAAAATGTCTATGTTCGAGCGAAATTTTCATTTGAAAGCCATTATTTAAACTTCAATTATTAAATGGCTTTAAGTTTTCCAACTCGGCTATTTTGAATTTGTCCGTGAAGATGTTAACGCCTACGCGTTTTGCGGACTCGTAGTTCTGTTCAGCAAGGTAGATTTCACCGCCATTAACCTGATTTTAAGGTTGCGGGCTTTGTTTCATATGCGAGAGCAACTGTCTTGTAATTGGGAAATTTTTTCCCGTGATCAACTTTTCTTAAAATTCTGTAAAAAGATGAAGTTGCTTTTTGATTAAACCCTAACAACTTCCAGGCCCCTTCTAAATTGACTGCCTTTGCTCCCAAAGGTCTGAGGTTTGAGTCTTTGTTTTTTTTTAGTATTTATTTAATTGAAAATTTGCTCCGGAAAAAATTGAGGATTCGGAGTTTCGATTGTCTGCATATGTTTTGCAGACTTAGTTGGCTTCAGTTTATATTGTATCGTTTGATGTGATTTTTTTTCAATTTTTCGTTGAGGTCAAACTTTGCGTTTTGTGAATTATAAGCGGATTCCGCAACAGGCTGAAAACAGATTTGTCGTGGAATCCGCAACCTTGCTCTTTTTCCTTTATCTTCTTTGCTGTTTTGGATTCCACAAACAAATAGTTAATACACGGTATTGCTCAAAATTGCTCCAAAAACAGGCAATTTTGCGGAATCCGCAACAAAGTTTGCGGCAACCGGAACAGTGTGTGAATTCCAGTATTATTGTATCGTGTCCCGGATCCTAAGGGGGGGGGGGGTCCTTCCTAAGGGGGGGGGGGGGTCCTCACGTAAAGCAAAATCCTAGGAAAGGGGTCCTTAATTTTTTGGAGGACCCCTATCCTAGGATTTTGTAAATGATCGCAAGTTCCCACCCCTAAAGTAAAAGACCCCCTCCTTAGGATCTTGTTAAGCTGAGCTCAACAACCGGGACGCGATACAATAATTCCTTCTAATTCCTTTTAAAGCGGTCCCTTTTCCCGCGATAATTAAAATTAATCGTCCTAATTCCTGAACTTTTCTTTTTCGTCCTAGTTTCATGTGGATATCATTTCCTGGCTTTCTTTCTTTCTTTTCGTCAAAGATTTGTCATGCTATTAAAGTTTGTTAAAGCCTAAGGATTTCACACATTTGTTTGAATTAACACTTGGTTTGCGTCTACTAGTTTATTTGCCTGAAGCTATTTATGTTAAAACAGTGATTGAGCTCAATACGAGTATTTTATTAGTTGTAAATTGGTAAAAACCAAAACATATACAAGTCGAAGTATAAAAAGGACGAAGAGTAAAAATCATCTGAAAATATATGTTTCAGACTTTAATGTTTATTGTTTTGGTTTTCTTTGCGCTGTTTTTTAGATGGTCGTTCTTCTGAAGCTTCAGATAAAATAAATGGGTTTTTTATAGGGGGACGTTCACGGACTCGGCTACTAGAAGCTTCTTCTTCTTCTTGCAGCTCTGCTTCTGAGTAGGGCCGCTGTAAAAATCCCCAATCCGGAAGTGTAAAATCGGGAGAACTGTTATCAGTTTCATTGTATGAGTTGGCCCACTCGGTGTCCATGTAAATGTCTTCTAGAAAAGCATTTTCTTCAGCGGCTTTATGGCCAAAGGGCACTGTCGAAATTCCGTCGAAAAGTAGAAAACGTTTTGAGTCGAATGGTGATAATGCAAGTTTGTTTTGTTTCACTGTCATATTGGTGTGACCTTTCGAAACTATATTGTAGTTGTACACTCTCATTGTTTTTCCAGTGAATAATGTGTCCCTGAAGGTTTGGTGGACCAGTTCTCTCTGTGCACTCCGTTTAATTCCTTTGGCACTCAATTTTTGAGTGCCTTCTAAACAGAAGCAAAATTATTATTCTTTTCTACAACGTTGGGGATAGCTTCATTTCACTTCAGCAACTCAATTTATACCGAACAAAATTTGATTCATTTTACCAAAAAAGAGCAGAAGACTCTAAATTATCATTAAAAAAGAGGAAAAAAGAGGGAATATGTTGTCAGATAAATCAACGTTTAGGCAACATTGTATAATGTTGCCTAAATCAGCTAAATGCCCAGAGTTTAATGCAACAACTTAAGGGGTGTAGGTAGGTTGGTGGTGGTATTTTTGTTCTGTAAAAGGTAGGAATGGGGGTGGAAGGGTGGCTTAAATTTTATTTACCATTAAGGACGACCGAATATAGTTTCGGTTTTAGGGCGATGAATTCTCTGATCGGCTTCCCACCAGTCTCGTCTTTGAACTTCAGCACAACTTTCTTGTTGGTATCCTCGAACAAGAAATGGTCCTTATCGTAATTTGAAAAGTCGAAATCAGCTTTTATTTTCTCCAAGTCTCGGTAAACGTCATCAGTTTTTATAGCGTAAATAAAACTATCCGTGTCGGAGTAAAGGAGTTCCAAGTTTAGATTTGGTTTCATTTTTTGATAATGAAACTGAAACATGAAGCGCTTGGCGAGGTCTAGGATGGTTGCACCAACTATCATAGGTTTATCCCACAATATTTTTGTTACTGAAAAGCTAATTGTGGCTAATTGATCGTCAATGATTTGAAAGCTTTTCATTGTGCTCAGAGCTGTTTTTTGTAAAAGTTCTCTCTCATTCCTTACAATCTCCAGCTTCTTTCTTCCTAACTTAGACTCCATTGTCTTACCGAAAGCTGAATTAACAATTAGCTTGTAGAAGTTCTCCTGGAATTTATTTACCGCGGCTTTTCGTAGGCGGGCGTTGAGGTCGACAAAGGGTGCCATCCAGGGTGCCATCCATATAATGCAGATTTATGGCTTAAAACACTCTGTTACTTTGCGTAAGACCTGGCTAACCCCACCGGGCACAAAGTATGATGAGAGAGAGAGAACAGAGAGTGTTTGATAAAAAAAGCCAAATAAATATGGTTGGACTACCAACAAGAAAATGTTGGACCCTTCCATATTTATCTTTCTTTTGAAAAGAAAGCAATATCCCGAAAAGGATATTCCAAATGGGGTTCACTACTGAGCAAGTGTATTTATCTCTCTCTATCTCTCTCATTCTTTCTCAAACAACAATTTTAGCGTAAAATTATTCTCGATTTGAGATTTTTTTCTAGTTTTTCTCTAAGATTTTGCTGAAAACTTTACGGGGCAAACTTTAAACTTTAATTGATCTATTAAGCAAAATAAAAACTGAGACAAAAAATATATACACAGTACTGTTAAAACAGCTTAGAAGTCAAATCAAACAACAATGAAAATATAAAACCTTGGAGTAATATTTGAAACAAAGGAAAGTTTTTTGTTTAAGTTATTAGAAACCTCGAAACTGTAGTTTTCTCTTTTTTGGCGCATAGCAAGCTGCATTTGGAGGATTGCCTTGAATGAGATCTGGGGTGACTAGATCAATTGTCTCCGCACTAGATGAAACCCGAGCATCCGAATAGGAAGTTGATTGTTCTGGAGTTGAAACTGCTCCCCTAACAAACGACTCGGGAGACATTGCTGTCGGAATATCCCAGTAC